TACCAAACGCGAGACTTTAGACTGTAAATGTTGCACGCGTCCATACATGTGAGTGGCAAAAAGTAATACGGTGTGTGTGTATTTAATGTGTGTGTGTGTACGTGTATATATGTATATATATATGGATGTTAAATAAAAGGGTCAGATTCGAATTTGGCGAGATGAAAGTCATGACAATTTATTAATGACGAACGTGAAATATTTACAGCACGGGTAAAACAAGCGATAATAACGAGAACAGGTTTTGGGTCTTTCGATTAATTTACCAGCAGAGGGCAGCATGGAGTAATCTTGAATACTGTTACTATACAATTTTATTTATATTCTGATCGTGAGGCAATATTTCGACATTATGTGGACAAAACGTCACTAACAATGACACAGATGAGAATATGGGCGCAGAACAATTAAGGGAACTGATTGAGCATACCACACAGCAATAAGAGAAAAATTAATTGGAATATTAATGAAGTTAATGCATCATTTTAACATGTGTTTGCAACCTCTTTACTTTTTACAAAAGTCAATTTTTCACATTGCATTAAGACACTAATGTTTGAATGTCAGTTTAGTTTCAGACGTCAATAAAATATAGAACTCACAGTTCTATCTTACTTGTTATCAATTTCAAATATTTGTGACCTTTTTTTTCTCGCTGCATGGTTTGTGTTCACTCTTTATGCTCCTGTATTACTGCATTGTCGCAGCTTTATTGGGAAATGTTGGTTTCGAAACACCTTTTCATGTCTTATTTTATGTGACTCCCGGAGTGACATGTCCCAGGAGAGCTGGCCTCGGTAAATTTTAAAAAAGAGCAATTTCACCGGGCCTTTGAAATGCTTAACTGTAATGTCGGTCCAGAGCTCTTTCAGACAGAAAGGAGAGGAAAATGTCAGCGCAGATTTCTATCAGCCAAGCTAGTTAAAAGTGCCCTCGTGGTGGCCAGCTGGGTGTGCCGACGGGACAACTGCCCTTTTATTCCCTGCGTTTTTAGCTTTTAGCCAGGATTTAGACAGCTCTGGGTCAGAACGGTGAACACATGAAACTGACGAAAGACGGCAAAATCAATCAGTCATTGCACACTGCACAACATTGACTCCAGACAATATAACTCCAAATCGTCGTTTCAAAGAAAGAACCCAAAAGTTGGACCAAGTAAGCGCAATTGACCCACAGAGACATTGTGAAAGCTACAAAGCCAGCTCCGAAAACAACTGCTAATGACATCGGCATCTTTCAGAAAGCGGGAATGACGATGTCGCAATCTCACGGAAGACTTAATGAACATTGGGAATGTGCCAGCTGCATGCGCGACATGCATAGATCCGAACACTAATTGAAAAGGGTAATTTGGCGGTTTGGTGAAAATAATCAATGCCTTTTCTGTTTCCCAGTGGCAGGTTTGCAATTCATTTGGAGTCTGGATGCATAGGAGCGAACATGACTGCCGCCGGGAGGGAGTCTCATCGTCTCCAGTAAAAGTAAGGAACTACGGTACACTTGTAGCGAGATGCTTCAAAAAAAACAAACAAACAAAAAAACCTCTGAAAATGGGACCCCATATAAAAATGGTTGCAATGACGACAGCCGTGGAGCCAGAAAATGACAGGTGGACTGAGGAGATGCAAACCGAATATGGCTCAAATTTCACACCCTGATGATCGGCAAAGACGCGGTCAAAATGGAATGCGCTTCCCACGCCGCAGACTCATCTGGTCAACCTTCTGTTTGCTCTTAAAATGCTTCAATAGCTTTTAATGCTCGCGAGCAATTTCCCACAGATGACAATCGCGTTCGGTTAAATTAAGCGGCATTATCCCACATCCAATGAAAACGCTTAATTACTCAACAGATGGTTGCTTTATCCTTTGTGAATGTGAATCGTGTCTCTCCGGATCATCCGCGGTTGCTCGTTTTATTCATAAATGGATCCTTCGTCCTTGGGTGGAGTTCGAAGCCGAAGGTTAAACAATAGCAATTCTATTTTGCGGTGTAATTAACACTCATAAGAAAAGCAAATGAAGGTAAACGTTTGCATTAGCGAGAACAAATACAACCTTAAGATTCCATTTTGTGTTGCGCCCTTCATTCGAGGGCAATTATAAGTGAGCATGATTCGGCACCGACTTTCCAAAATTGGACTTCTTGGAGATATTCTTTCCAAAAGAGTCAAAACAACATAAGAGACACACTGAGCAATATTTTTAATACATGGTTTGCTGGTGCCTTAAAACCATGTCCGTGACGTACTTTTGCCAAAATGCTCGTTCCCCTCCTGAGCAAAAAGAAATCTCCAAATGCCTTAAAGGTTTGCATCCAAAGGTTGGATGGCAAACGAAGGCGAGGACCTTCAACGTTCCTAATTCATTTACAGATTTAATTAGATGGATGGAGCCCTCGCTGATATTAAAGCAGGGAGGGCTCGAATGTTGCCAGCACAACAGGACTTTTTAATTACAACTCGGCATCCCCCCCACTTGCTGATGTCTGGGGAACCAGTTAATTAAAATCCTCATTATTTTACTTTTAATTAGTTCCCCTCTCTTTTTGTTTCCCTGCACCATATGGCAGTGATCCGTAGTCAAATCAACTTAATTAAGCTAATTAAGTTGATCAGTTTAATTATTCCAAGTAGTCTGATTGGATGAAATATCTACCACACCTTTTCAACCGCAAAATCCCGCTTCAAATGCCTTTCTTAATTACTCACATTAACGGATCCATTTCAAAGCGACTGATTGTTATCTTGCACTGCCCGGATACTGTACGCCGGGTTGGTCCGGAGTGTATTTCAGAAGGCGGGCTTCACCTTGAACCGGTCGCCAGTCAGTCGCTGCGCACACAGAGAGACAAGCGAGCATTCACACCGCCACTGAGCGGGAATCGATCCCACGCTGCTCGCACGCAAGTCAGGCAAGTGCACCGCACCACCATCAGTGACCCGAATTTAACTATGTGGAATAAAATAATGACACCATCAAGGTTTTACATCTAGTTTATTTTCTTCATCTCAACAACAGTACAATACAAGATATGCTATAATAAAAATACAATGTACAAAGTGTGAAGTATCGTCTTCACTAGTAAGGTACAAGAGTGCGTTGGTTATCCATTCATCCATTTTCTGAACCGCTTTATCCTCACGAGGGTCGCGGAAGATGCCGGAGCCTATCCCGGCTGTTTTCGGACACCAGGTCGGGTCCACCCTGAACCGCTTGCCAGCCAATCGCAGGTCACACCAAGACAAACGACCATTCACACTCACAATCGCACCTTGGGACAATTTATAGAGTGCCCAATCAATCTGCCATGCGTGTTTTTGGAATATGGGAGGAAAGCGGAGTACTCGGAGTAAACCCATTGCTTATTTGGCCAACCATGAAAGGTGGTAGTCCCACAACCAACCGGATTGGTCAAATTCTGAACAATCTCTTGGTTCATGTAACCAAGATCAACCGAACCAACTTGACTGATCATTCTGATGACTTTTTTGTTGTTTTTGTGAACCAATCTGCGGAAATCAACGAACAAGCGGAGGAAAGAAGGCCACTCTCCTCCAACAGCACCCAACACAAGATACCCTGCCGTGCGTCGTCACTAGTCTTAAACACAACGCACTCGGACACACCTGTACGTCGCTACAATATTTAACCCGAAAAAATAAGACATAAAAAGCGTTGGAGCCTATTCTGTGAGTAGTATAAACACGGCGATAGAACCCCCACCACCACCACCACTTTCCACTCTAATTAAGATGAATACTTGACCCACGGAGAAAACACAGAATTGTGGCTTTTTACTGTTTAACACACAAACACAGTGTTACCTGCAGATTTAGTATCCAACTGTTCGGGAAGAGCGGGCAAAGGACAGCCGGGTTTCTACTGGAATCACCGCAATGAAATATCAATGTCCATTTCCTTCCTTTTTGCCAGGCCTGATCTCCAGAACATTGCTGCCACAGTTCGTTCGTAAGAAACAGCAGCCCGTCTGGTGTTTCAAAGCGTCATTCGTGTCCCGCTCCCTCAAATGAAGCAACAATTCGGCCTTCTCTCATCACGGAAAGAGTGACGAGCCGCTTTACAAAAGGAGGCAGAGAGAAGAGCCCAAGGGAGGAGACGCTCAGGGTTTCCCATCCAATTTCTCAGCAGACCTGTCAATCATGGAAAAAGACGCTCAGTACGTACTTGACATGGAGAAATACAAATTGCGATAACGCTGACAGTTAATTATTTTGACAATTAGTCGGTGAGCAAACATTTTATTTTCCATCTCCTTTATTATTGTATGAAACTCCCGGTACAGAAAACGCACAAACACAAATTGATTATTATTCATTATTGGACATGTAAGGTGCAAAATTGATTGAATGACGCGATGGCGTTCATCTCGTCGTCTTATTCATGAAAATAGATTAAAGGTTTCCTTTTTTTTTTCCAGACAAGAAAAGAGTGACAGCTCCGACGAAGGCTGAAGTGACAGCCAAAATCTCGTCGTCTTATTCATGAAAATAGATTCAAGGTTTCCTTTTTTTTTTCCAGACAAGAAAGGAGTGACACCTCCGACGAAGGCTGAAGTGACAGCCAAAACTGTCAGCTCGGTAAGAGGTTTTCTTTTCACACACACAAAAAAAAGACCACTGTCTGAAAAAAGGAAACCTTAAACCTATTGATTGATTGATCATTCAAATTGAGATCATCAGTCTGCTTTCATCGAAGACGACAGAAATCGGAGTATGGACTGTACAGAGCAAAGACGTGCTGGGACCAAAATTCAGCCTGCGTATATTCGTCCCGGTGGAGTGGCGGCGCGCAGAGATGCAATGAAACGTAAACATCCGATTATCAATTGGCAACGTGTGGTTCCGTTTCGGTTTTCAAATGATTAATTGATGCTCAAAAAAAATTAGCGATTAATTGCAATAAATTACGTGATCCGCAAATCAACACGTGCACAGAAATGCTTCTCACCTTCTGATCGGACATCATGCCATTGGCTTGCATTTGTGTTGGGTGCCCGCTGAGGAGTCCGCCTCCTGGACGATCATGTTCACAGAAGATCGTTCCGTCGATGTAGTGAAAGCGATCGCCGGGGACCAGGCGGTTCCGACACGTTGCACAAATGAAACACTGACACATAAAAGACTTGTTTATCATTTCATCTACTATCAATTCAATTGTATTTATAAAGCGCTTTCAAACAACCACCCCTGTATACAAAGTGCGGTACATGGAGCAAAAAAAAAAAAAAGAATACATTAAGAACGAAGACAATAGAAAGCACAAAAACAGCAAAACTAAAAATCAAGTCTCATGCGGAGTCAAAAGCCAAAGAATAAAAATGAGTTTCAAAGATGGGCAGCGAGGGGGCTTGCCTAACTTTAAGCGCGAGAGGGACGGAAAACGGAAAAGGTCCGATCCCCTCTGAGCTTTCTCCGCTTAGTTCTTGGTACCTCTAATAGTATCTGGTCCGCGGACCTGAGGCACCGGGCAGATGCGTTGGGGTGGAGGAGCTCAGAGAGGTAAAGTGGGGCAAGGCGTTTGAAAACAAATAACAGGATCTTAAAAATGACTCTTAAAATGGATACGGAGCCAGTGAGGGGATGCCAGAGTAGGAGTGATGTGCTCCCTCTTACGAGTACCAGCCGAGAGGCGAGCAGCGGCATTTTGGAGCAACTGGAGATGCTCAATGGAGGATTGGCTGACTCCAAAGTCAAGTGCATGACAGTCATCCAACGGAGATGTGACAAAAGCATCTCCAATCATACACCACTGACCAGGACCAATAACAAAATGTACATCATCAAACTCACCTTCAGGTGGTAAACGTTTCCTTGCGCCCGCATCACCATCTCACTCGCAGGGATCGCCTGTCCGCATGCACTGCAAGCGCCGCTGTGTCCAAACAGCCTACGGAAACGTACAAACCAAACATCAAAACCTACACCGGCATGTATGTGATTTGTCTGACTTGTATAAAAAAAAAAAGAGAGAGAATATGAGAGTTGATGGAACAACAGAGCGCCCCATAACAACGCCAGATGTGTGCCAGTCACCGGAGCCTTTAAGCGGCTACAATTTTGCGGCGCAAACATGTTGCCATGTTTAGGCACAAGAATGATGTTACATGTAGTGAGGCGGTTTTTCGGAACAGGCTCTCTGTGGCTATAAATGGAAAAACAGAGAGTCTCTTTTATCGAAATGCAAGGCTCCAGTCATTGAATTTCCAACAGTGCGCTGATGCTGAAACAAAGCGTGAGCCGCGCTCACCTGATGTAGTCGTTTTTGCAGAGGATCATCCCTCCTTTGCTGTAGCAGGTGCTGCTGTACTCGCCCAGCTGAGCGTGGCAGCAGGAGCACTTGAGGCAGCGCGTGTGCCAGTACTGCTCCATGGAGAAAAGGAGGAAGCGATCTGCAATTCGACCTCCGCATCCCGCGCACGAGCGACCTGCTGAACCCCCCACGACGGCCACTGTGGGCACCTCCACCCTGCTATTCACCATCGCAACTAGAGAGGGACACGAGAAACGCAGAGTGGTGAAGGAGAAATCCTGAAATTTATGCACACTCCACATAACAGTTAACAAAAAAACAATTAAAAGAGTGGATTGCTATTCACGCTTAACCTCGAATATTTAGTTCATCACACACTTGGGATGTTGCCATCAAGGTTTTTGAGCTGCCGATACCGATTATCTATGTGTGTGATCGACTGACACCGATCGCATGGATTCGGTTAAAAATGTTCCATTTTAGAGCTGCAGCTACCGATTTATCTCATCTCCACAAAGCGCTTTGTTACAGCTGCAGCTGTTATGAAAGAGGCAGATTAATAAACACATATTGTATAGTATAGTTGGAATAGTTGACAAACTCAAGTTACCAGACTTGTTTTGGTGACTCCAATATGCAGAGGTGGGGCTGACCACTGTGCGGCCACCCCTGCGTCAAGGGCAAGGAAAAACTAAAGAAAAAAAAAAAACACCCCACTTCCCCTACAATTCTGTCGTATTTTAATTGGTCATTTTTCTTCAGCTGGAAAGCGTAATAAATATCATCCGTTCAAAACGGAAAGCAAATCCTTGACAATAATTAAAGTTACACCTTACAAATCACCACGGAGCTTAGCGTTGTTTCATAGGTTAAAAAACAAAACCGGGAAAGAGATCCAAGTTATTGAACTTACACCACTAGTCCCAGGAAGACGCTGGGAAAAAAAAAAGATCAAATTGTCTTAATTTGAAGTCCACGAAACGCCGAAGGTTTTCAGTCCATTCCCGACGAGAGCCATCAAAGAAACCAGCAACAGCTCCCTTGTGATCGGCAGCACACAGCCCAGCTGACAGGCGGGGACTTTCACTTTCTTTTTGTCTGTTGACAAGCGCTGTTTGGCGGCCGAGCAAAGCTGCGCTCAAAGCGCGTGTGCCTGCCTTGTTAAATACGTCATCGCTACTCGCCCAGCCAACTGCGTGCAAGGGGCGTGGCTTTTGGACGCAATCGAAATGAGGTACTGTACTGTATATTAGTTCAATCACTTTTTTTTTTTTAAAACTAAGTGTGCACGAAAATGTGTGTTTGTATTATTTCTTTGTTGATCCCCAATAATGCTGTGCTTATACATAGTAATATCAACGTTTAGGGAGTTTACTCCAAAAAACAGTTAGTGTAGAAACTAGGACGTATTCTTGAGCAAAAAAAAAAAAAAATCTTACCATTAGTTGTGATTTGCAACTTTGTAAACTGTGAGTAGAGTCATACTAGTACCATGACAAATAAAAGACCTCAAAAAGTCTATTGATGATAGCTGAGCCGCACTACTCCAATTGTTTGATGGTTTGGTAACAGCTGCAAATTAAATTGTGCGTTTTTTCTAACATGTCGGAGCCAAAATTGTCCTCCACCCATGACGTGCATTCAGATGTCGCGGAAGAAAAAAAACAGCGGATTGTGTTGAAATCCAAGTCAAGGGAGACCTCCAGCGGACAAACTACAAGGCGCGCAAAACAGATGTCTCCAGGCAGATATTAAATCTTGCCAAAAGTAAACAAATCAATCGGAACTTGGATTAGTTGCCTTTGCAACTAGTGCCGCGGCCCGGGCGTGCTGGGGCCGATCCTAGCCGCAGGAGGCGGGTACACCTTGAACTGGTTGCCAGCCACTCGCAGTATAGAAATGTATAACTTATTTTAATTTTCCCATACAGTTCAAAATTAGCCCATTTGGCGATTAAGCGGAGGGCAATAAAATCCGACACCTTAGTCACCAATTAAGTCAACGATTTCAACCATGTCTGAAAGATAATCAAATTTGTCTGAGTCGCCTGCAATCAGTTTGGGAAATTTTAAATACTACAACCCGGAATTGGTATTTTTTAATTGAATACAACTTTATTGTCAAATGTGCTTTGGGACTTGAAAAGGGAAAACAAGATGATTCCTAGACCCCCATTCGATACAAGCACCAGTTATATGTAAGACACAAAGTGTTTCAAGTACACATGCAAATATGTAGTTCTTGTTACCTGCTTATTTTTTTCTGTTCGAGGTGTGCATAAAAACGACCGACCAGTAGTGGGCAGCAATATGCCGTTCTAAAGAATGACGTACGAAAATTCAAAACAAAGAAGTACGAGGTCCGTGTCCGTGTGTTTGGACAGTAACATCTTTGTTGCGGTCAGGACCACGAGGGATTTACCAAAGGATTATTGATGACTTGGTATCCAGAACTCAAATGTATATATTAGATGTTGGCAAGTAGGCGGGTGTTACCTAAGAAAGTGTCTGTGGTCGATCGACTTTGTCCGTTGCGTTGTTCAAATGATGGTTAATGCAAAGTGTTAGTAAGGACAAAGATCTCTATTTAAATTCAAGAAACGTCTACAAGGAAACGTGGGAACTTACTCAATGTGAGTATAAACATAACTTCCGTGTTTGTTGTTCGTAAACGTTTGGGGTTAGCCGTGTTTGCTAACGAACAATATCATAATAAGGTAAAGACGCCTTTATTTCCAGTATAGCCGCTAAGTAACCAAGTGTATGGGAGAAAAAAGATATACTAGTTTTCACGCATTTGCTTTAAGGGTGACTAAGTTAGTGTAGTTTATTTGTGAATTATTTATGTCTAGCCCTTACGGGAATTTGCGTTGCTAGCTTCGAAACTGACCCGCCCACTTCACATCGTCGATTGACGTCTGACCTTCAACTACGTTTACGCAGTCTCTTGGCTTGCCTATTTCAAATAAATATATCCAAAATGATTACATATCCATTTCAGTTCATGCATTTTAAACAAAGTATCTGCAAAGATTACTCTAATATCGCAGTCAAAGATAGCGAACGCCTGATGCTGTTTGTTGAGGCTACAAGTGGATGTGCGCTCCTCTCCAGTGTTGACACGCCCTTCTGTTGTCAAATTAGTGCAATAGGAAGATTATGCAAGGGAGAAGTGTTGAAAATAATAGTATATACATGAGTATGACAGTTAATTGAAGTATGATGTCAAGATGATAATTAATTAGAAGACAAGCAAAATGGTACTTATTTTTAATGATAAATTGCATTTGCTTGTCCTTATGTCAGGACGACTGGGGGGTCAGCCATCTTTTTTGCTCTGCAGTACAGAACCTATGTACGTTGTCTCTTCATTTTAGAGTACAGCGGGGGGTTGGTGTCTTGAGTGGTTCCAACTGGTCCATCAGCCGTTTCAAGTGAGTAGCTCTTATTGAAGTGGACTCGCGGAAGTGAAACCCAGAAGGCCCGACTCACAGCAGTACAAGAAGGATACAGGATGCCTCTGTTCTTCAGAAAGAAGAAACCCAGCGATGACTCCCAGAAGAGACTTGAATATCAGCTTTGTCGGGTATAAAAAGTGCTAACGAGTGGATACTAGAGTGTTTCTTATTTTGTACTGTGACAAAACAGCTTGCAATGAGGAATATTAAAGGATGTTGAAATGCATGCAAAACCAACTAACTTCTTTCCTCCAGTCAAAGGAAGCAGGTGCTGATGACATCCTGGACATCTCATCTTGCGAGCTTTCAGAGGTGAGAATGTTGTGTCGTGTTTCGCTGCGTGCTCAATTCGATCCCCCAATTTTCCCATGTAACCTTTAGCTCTATTTTCCTCTTAGCTCAACATACCTTAACTGGAAAATATGATAAACAAACACAAAAATAATAATATTTTAAAAGTTTAGAAGAACCTGTCATAAGTTTGCACAGAATATTTTTTTCTGCTTTTTTTCACAGGTCCCTTTGAGTGCCTTTTCGATTTGCAAATTTCTCCAGAAAAAGGTAGGGGCATAATAAAAAGCTAAAAAGAACAGAATACATGCAACTGTACGTCCGTACCTCTCGCCAACAAGGCACGATGTCATGTCATTTGAACAGACATTTCTTGTTGTGATTTTCCACAGGTCCTGATCTTACACAGCAATGAACTCAAGTCGTTGCTTCCCAAAGGTAGCGACATCGCCTCGCTTGGCTCTCTAAAGGTAAAGTCACTGCGCATTAAAGGTGTCTTCAAACTTAAAATCAGTCAGTCCGCCCATTTAAAGGGTGACAAGTAGGAAGTATAGTTAGTGCAATACTCTGCTGTAGCAGCAAAAATATTTCTCCCTGTCTCTCTTCTACTCAAGGTTTTGGATTTGCATGATAACAAGCTTAGTTCACTCCCACAAGACATTGGGAAACTGACGTCTCTGCAGGTAGAGCCCCTCCGAACTCTTAAAGATAAACATTAGTTCATAATGCGTGTCACTTATCCTCCTCTGTTGCCGTTTGTGTTTTGTTAGATTTTGAATGTGGAGAAGAATCGTTTAAAGAGCCTTCCGGAATCCATTGAGGATCTAAAGCTCCTGCAGACTCTCAATTTGAAAGGTTGAATTCTTACGCCTTGTCCATGCCTGAGCATCAGATTTGATTTTCATGTCCTTTGGAATCGACCCTGGTATTTTCCCTGCCGTTTTAGGCAACTGTTCATGCCTGAGCGTTAGATTTGATTTTCATGTCCTTTGGAATTGACCCTGGTATTTTCCCTGCCGTTTTAGGCAACTGTCTCAGTGAGCTACCATCGGGAATTAGCTCTCTATGCAGTTTACGCACTCTGGATGTGAGTGACAACCTCATCATCCAGATTCCCAAAACATTTGCTTACCTCCGCACACTGGAGGTACGTGTTCAGTTCAGACTATCGCATTCAAAAACAGCAACGCACAAAACAGTTTCTCACAGCCAGTGAATGTGTTTGTCTGTTGTGTGTCTACACTTGCTGTGACAGACCCACATACGGAACCCAGCCACAATGACTTATCCTCCCGCATCCGTATGTGTGGAAGGTACAGCGAGCATCCAACACTTCCTGTGCTCTGGTGAGGACGTATTTTAAGTCATAACCACAAAAGATATCATTACTAGACATACTATACATCATTTCCTGTCAATTGTCAGCAAAACTGGCATCCGTCAGTGCTGATGGCGGTCCACCTCTGCTTAATATGGGGGCTCTTCTTAAGAGCTTTAACTGTACTTTTGAAAGCAAATGATATTTTTTCACCCCCCAGAGCTAGGAGAGGAGTACTGTCCTCCATCCGGGGGTCCACCTCTGCTTAATATGGGCGTTCTTCTTAAGAGGTTTAACTGTACTTTTGAAAACAAATGATATTCCCCCCAGAGCTAGGAGAGGAGTACTGTCCTCCATCCCAGTATCTCCTGCCCGTGCTGGAAAATGACAGCGGCAAACAAAGCTCTGACTGTGTGGATGCCTTGGATGCCGCCTGGCAGGTAGATGACTCCCTGTATTCCACTCAACCTCACTACACTGTATTGTCACATTTTCTAAGGACGTCCTGTTCGGTTGGCCGATGAAATGTTTCCTCACTGTCGTTGCAGAATAAATTCAGTGACTATGAGAAGAGAAAGGTATGTGTCTTCACCTTCCAAAACGAGCTGTCCTTTAAGGTTTCTTGCTCACCGAAGCCAAACTGAAATAAAGCTGGAGCTCGAATTAGAGATTCGCTTTCCTAGCAGAACAGAGCCATACTCATCTGCCCTCATGTTGACGCTTTATTGTCCTCAATGTTTTACCAACACTTTGGTTCTTCCAACATATTGTGGTTGCATCACTGCAAGTGTCCCCCGCCTTTTCAGCACAGCTGCAATTTCAAATTGCAAAAAAAAAAAACCAAAAAAACAACCTAAACTAAATGAAGCTCAGATGTTAAAAACATGTAAATGGTGTCCAAACCCAAATTGCCTGTCCTATTTTTGTCAGATTCAGAAGCAGGAGGAAAAACTGGCCTTTGAGCGACACCGAGAGGAAAAACAAAATGAGCACACTCAGCTTCTGCTCATGAACACCTCTCGGAAAGTAAACATCCTCAACTCGGTTCGTCAGGTACGCTGTTCTCAATTTTTTTTCTAGTGGGTGCAGTTATTGCTTATTATTATTATTATGATTTTTTTTTTTCTCTCGCAAACTGCTAAATGACTCACCTTTGCGCTGATGTGTAGGAGCAGGAGCGTCTGGAGCACGGCGTCACCCAGCAGCAGCGGGCCCAGGAGTCTGAGAGGTTGTTATTGTTAGAAAAAGTGCGACACGCCGAAGACGACATCAGCAGTCGCATCAGCAACATGCTGTTGGATGACAACAGGTAGCACCTGAAGGCAAGCGCGTGGACGTGCGGCAGAGGGAAGCTGCTCGCTTGGTCCCGCTTGATCAATAAACTGCTTGGTTTTTGTACCTCTGCAGGCAGAAAAAGAGCGCCGAGTTTCTTCAAGCCATGGAGGAAGATCGGTGAGTGGAAGATCATCGGTCACTTGGCAAAAAAAAATAAAAAATTCAGTCCAATTCAAGCATTGCGATGCATTCGTTTTCGTCACGGCATTGTGCCGTCTTTTTGTTCATGAATATTTGACCACCCTCACCGATTGTCTGTTTTTCCGACAGGATCCGTTTGGAACAGCTGACTGCCATCACACAGGAAGAGGCCAGCTCTCTGAGGAAGAGAGAAGTAGCCGGTATGGAGCCTTTCACGCCTTTTCAATGTCGGACTTGAAACAAGAGTCCGAGCTGTAGAAATCGAACCCATTCTTCTTTCTTTCCTCGGTATCATTTGTAGCGGCCATGCAGAAGATGCTGTCAGACAGCTGTGCTGTGAGCCTCCTGCAAGAAGCCAGCGACTATCGTAGAAAGAGCTTGGTGTCCGAGGCCTACCGAAGGTTTCAAATGCGCACACACACGCACACACAGTAATAACAGCGTACCCTGTTCTCTTTGACCAATCAAAGTCTGATGATGTTCGACGCTCTTTCCCACGTGTTGTGTAAACAGCATGGAGAATTTGGAGAAAAAGTTTGACAAGATGCTCTCCATCCAAGTTTTGGACAAATCTAAAGCCATTGCCCAAATTCTACAGGAGGTATGTCCTCACTCGCCAAATCACAGCTGTTTGTCTTTTTATCGCTCGCCGTTATCATTCACTTGAGACCGATAAGCGGTATTTTAAGCCCCGTGAATGCTCACGACTTGTGTTTCAACCCTCTGCAGGAGGAGATGCAGAAAGCGGCGTTCCAAGCGCTGCAGTTGCAGAAAGATTCTGTCCACGGTTATATCCGCAACCAGGTCTGTTTGGAGGAATGCAGACGGGTCAAAGCCGTCCTCGCTTCTTATCTCTTTTGATGCGCGGAGTTGATGGGCAGGCTTATCTAAACTGCTGAAGGCATGTTTGACTTTAAAAGATGTCGTTGTTTTTCTTTTGTGGGGGGAGCAAGCCATTTTCAAGACATTACATTGCACATGTGAGCAGACCATCCATCCATCCATTTTTTTTAATCCGCTTCTCCTCATGAGGGTCGCAGGCGTGCCGGAGCCTCTCCCGGCCGTCTTTGGGCACTAGGCGGGGCACACCCTGAACTGGTTGCCAGACAATCGCAGGGCACACAGAGACAAACAAGCAGGCCGCAGCCGGAATCGAACCCTGCACCTCAAGTAGTCTCGACAAGATATTTAACATCTCGACCCCCTGCGGCTAAAAGCACATTTCATGAAGTCATCCAAGTTGTTCATCCTAACCTTTGCAGTCCGCAGCATGCCGCTTCCCCCCCGCTAGTTTCATGTTGCCTTTTCACTGTTCCAGATCAAGCTTATTGAGGGCGAATTAATGCAGCTGACAAAACTCGAAGTTAAAAGACGCAATCTGGATGCCGAGAGCCTGCAGGTAGGTGTCACCCCCTCATTTTTCATTTGCCCACACTCATCCACTCTTGGTTTTCTCTTTCTTTTCGACGACGGTATACTTTGGTTGTATGGCACGCTTTGCTACCTTGGTTCCAGCTCAACATAGCATGAATTAATCGAAACCATCGTCATATCAGCAGGGTATTTTCAGCGGATAAATGCGCAGCGTTGTTTTTGCTTTCAAGCATTGCGCACGCAATTCTGAACACGTGCTTCGCGTTTGATTAAACTAGTAATGTCTGCATGAAAATTAATTATTGTACTCTGTCAATCTTCTTGTCCTCTTGCGTGCGTGTGTGTGCGCGCGCATGCAGGAAGTGCTCGTGGACCAGCGCACGGCTCTCGGCGATTTGTTGCAGCAACTGCTGAAACAGAAGCACCAGAGAGAGCAAGAACTACTGCAAGTTCTGGTAAGCAAACTGAACTCATTTTTATGACGGCGGTCATTGGTCTGCTTTCTTCCCAACTACTGTCAGTACTATAGTGTCGTGAAAAAGTATTTGCCTCCCCCTCCTGATTTCTGTTGTTGTTTTTTTTTTTTTTGCACATCGAGCAGACACAATGGTTTCAAATCATCAAACAGAAAAAAATCCAACCCTTTCTGACCCTCTGGCATAAAAATGGCACAGCATTTGATAAGAAAATGATGCCAAGAGTAAAGCATGGCGCTGGCAGTGCTTGTTGTCATCCGAAGGCTGCAATCATCCAAATTATGGTCAAGGAAAAAATCATGAAATATCTCAGTATTTATGTCACAAATCTCAGGAATGAGATTTACTTTTAATAGTTGAGTTTTACGATTTCTTTACTCCTCTTCGTGAAAAATACATTATTTGTAGTGTTTGCTTTTGTTGACTCAGTTTGCAGAAATCTAAATTAGAGCCCTCCTATTCCTTTGACTGTTCGTCCGAGGTCAAGTGGTTTCATGAGAGCGCTGATCACGTTTGGATTTCTAGGCGGAAATGGAACTGAAGTCGGAGTCCACCCAGCAGAACTACTGGATGATTCAGTACCAGAGACTGCTGGATGCCAAGCCCTTGTCGCTGCGCATGCAGGTACCGCGTCACGCATCTCGACACGTCAGATTTGCCCGAGCATCTGGAAACAATTTTTTTTTTTCTTTTCTGATGTGTGTCTATCACAGGAAGCCGGGGTGGAAAAAGACTTAGTAAATCTACTGTGCAAGCTGTCCGCACAGCATTACTTGCCCATCATGGCCCACCATCGTGTGACCGCAGAGGCCCTTCGCCACATGAACTCAGCTGACCTTAAGAAGGTCTGAAGGCAACACCATTTCGACACGTGTTGACTTTTGCTTGGATATGTGCCATGTTATAACCGATAAACAAAGATTCGGGATCTAAAATAGCCTGACCTTGCATGCACAAGCATGGCATCCCTGAGTTCGACTGTATACTGAAAGGGTGCAACAAACCAGCCCTTTCATCTACCCATCATTCATTATTTCAGTCATAATTCATTTGCTTTGTATTCAAAGAGGAAAATCTGTCCATACATTTGTGGTCTCTTGGCTCATCATTTCATACCTTGTGTTTGTAGCTTGGCATTGCTGAAGTTGGCATCCAAAAAGCTCTTCTGAACTGGGCTCGTGAACGCCAGCCTGAAGGTAAAACACGCACGCACAGTCGCACACGTTACACCTACCGTATGTCACACACGGTATCTAATTCATCTTGATGATCGTAAAGGAGAAGATGCGCTTCAACACACTTCCGAATATAATTATACAACGTGCCGGCGATGGTGTTGTGGTACATTCGCCTTACTGGTGTACGGTATATTGAATATAAACTTTTATTTGACAGCATTGACGGCGCTGCAACATGTTTGTGTTTTATATTTGCATGTCTATGGCCCCCGTTCTCGTAGGCGCATGTAAGTTGGCGGAGCAGAGCGAAGAAATTCCCCCAGCAGAGCCGTCCTCTTCCTTCTTTCCATCGATTCCCAACACCTCCGGCAGCTTGACACCGAGCCCGCCGCTCACTCCCGGGACCCCAATCACGCCCTCTGCCCCGAGCCCAGTGGAGGGACCGGGAGGCTCCGAGTGTGTGGTCTGCATGGAGACGGGGGTAAGAAAAAAAACCAACAAAATCTTACTCGCTTACAAAAGTAGTAGTAGTAAAGCTGAATGAGCGTTCTCACTTGGTGTCAAATGACTAATTGTTTGGCTTTGCTTCTCCCCAGGCCCAAGTCATCTTTCTGCCCTGTGGCCACGTTTGCTGTTGTCAGGTTTGTAGTGACGCCCTGCAGAACTGCCCCCTGTGTCGAGGCGCCATATCACAGCGCATACGCCTTTACCGCAGTTAAAAGCGACCGCGGCTTTGCAACTTTTTTCGGGGAAACGCGCATGACCACAACGCTGCTGCTGAGTTCATATGTAGGCACGCTTTGCGTAGGTGTTTGAAGAATGCTGAGCCACTTTTCCCATATTAACCAAAAACTCGATGCCGCATTATTATGCAAGAAGTTTGGACTATTTTCATTTTATGTCTAATTCATTTCAATGGACTTGTTTTGACCTTTCTACACAAGGGATAGGTGCCGTTTTCTGAAAATAGATTCTTTGGGTCCAAACAGTACCTTTTGTTTCTGTACACCATCATGACATACCGACGCACTTAACACTGATGAGCCATAACGTTATTTGACCACTTGCACAATATAATGTCCAATCCAAGAACTGTATCAAATACTCTTACCTGAACAGAGATCATTAAATGTGTGCGTGCCGTGATGAGCAGCAGCCAGAACGGAGCCCAACATGAACAAAACCAAAAAATAAAGCCGATACAAGAGTTTGTGAATTTGTGAAAAGGAAATCACTGCCTGCCGTAGTGGAGACCTGACACGGAGGCATGCGACACACTTTGGCAGCGTCTTAAGTGCAGAAACCATCGTACGTACGTGTACCGTTTTAAAATGCTTCTCCTGGCCATTCTTTGCCAGTGCCGTCAGTGAATTGTACACGAAACAAACTTTGAATGAGAAGAACAATAATAATAAAAAAAGACACATGGCAACAGCTCTCAGTGGAAGCTTAAATGGACTGCATATGCAAAATTTGGCAGATGATCCCCCAACATGACACGGTGTGCAAAAGAGAAATTGGATACCATTTGATTTGCAGATTATAATACTTATTGTTTATTTGTTCAGCATTCTTTTTCTATTTGGAAAACTGAATTTAGACAGTACTACTATTTATACTTATGTCAAACATTGCTGATAATGACTCTGAGAGGTTACGACTTGTTATTCCGAGCATTTCTTTCATTTGTAATCACTTCAAAGCATGGATAAATACTGAAAGCACCTTAAGAGAGTCGTTATGCTTGCTGGAGTATGTAAGTGCTCTTGTGTTCAGTGTATGCATTCTTGTAAAACAACACAGGAAAGTCAATGGTAAAGCAACCAACTAGCAGTTAAAACTGATGTTGTCTACAGTTCCCTATAGGGGGAAGGACTTAAGTTCTGCCGGCATGGCCCTCCAGCCTTATCCATATGTTTTGGACAACTGTCACTTTTATTATGATTGTATGTGATGCACTATATATATATGAAATAAGAAGTCCTGTTTGCAGCCATCACTAACTGTTATATTCTCCAAGTGCTCTTACTTACTGTGCACATATGTCAAAATATGATGTAATATAAAATATATGCCACTTTCTCTTACTCTCTGTGTAGTCACTGTATATATTAATATCGCTGTTGCTGTGTAACAATATTGATATGGAAATATATTTGGAAATTAAGTGATGAGTATTATCACAAATAAAAGGTGAAAGATGGCTTCTTGTTTTCTTATAAACTATTCAGGTGGGTGTGGGTGGAGTAATAACTTGCAGTTATGATTTCCTACCAAGTGTGTGAAAATAAATAAATGTTGGGGAAAGCGATCACTGATAGGACCCATTAGCATCATAAAATCAGGTCGAATTTTTTTTACTGTGCTTGTTAAAAATTGCGGTGGGGGTCTGACAAAATGCAATTCATGTTGAAAATTCCGACCCTTTTCATGAACATTGAACGTTGCATCAGTTGACCGACCAACCACAGCGCGACTTTTTCTTTGCCGTAAAGTGTGACGTTCATGTCAAGAATAATGAACTCTGAGCCTCTGTCCGTGACGGACTTTTCTTCAATTTTTAGCGATTCTCGTCATTGATGTTGTCAGGAACCGTAAGTGTCTGGCTTTTTGGATGCTTTCAATTAATGTATAAGCTGGGAAGAAACATAGATGTACAATGTCACATTATTTTGCTCTCCTGCTAGTTGCTAACGAATGTCGTGAATTCCAATAAACGGCTACGCACAGTTGGGTCACGTTGAAGTATGTTCCAATTACTGGTCTTTTAATGTAAAGGTAGACAACTTTAGGTTGGTGTTGAGAACGATCGACCTCACGCAGGGCCTGAGGTGGGTAGTGTAGCTAATATAATTATTCTAAAGAGTACTGTTTGTCGGGGTGTCAAAGTCATTGATCTCGTTTTTATGGTTTCCTTCGGAGGGCCGTTATGAGTGAACACATAAAAATACATAATCGCCTGATATATCTACAAACTGTACACACGACATATTGATGGAGAAATCGGAAGTGAGTTGAAGAAAAATGTTCAACTGTTACACAATTAGGGTTGCACAATATAGCGAAAATATCGTTATCGTGAATCTGCGATATACATATCGCAAAGACTTGCAATAAATTTCATATGGAATTGTATGGTTTTACCTGAATCTGACTCTTTCAGTCACAATGTCACTCCCTGCTTTGCTCGTCCTGTACGGGAGCCAGACTGGGACGGCCCAGGACACAGCCCAGAGGATTGCGAGGCAGGCCGTCAGAAGGCGCCTGCGAGTGCATTTGTCAACACTCGATGACTACAATGTTGTAAGTTGTGTTTTATTTTGGCTACTACTTGAAGGACTGGGGCCAACGGTACGCTTTAGGCTCTCTGTGTCACCTGAGACTTAAACACGAATGTAAAGTTGCAGTCATGTCATTTTGAAGGCTTGCTATGACTACTAATGGCTCACAATGCACACATTTACTCTCATTTTACAAGTACTGTCTAAATAATGTAAGGTGCAGTCAGAATTGCAGCTCTTTGATAAATGACTTTCAGTCATCGGTCAGACGTTTACGACACGGTGGCAAATAGAACTGTGCTCAGTGGTTGTGCCCTGTGGTGTTCCCTCTCTTCTCACAGGCTAACTTGATCTCAGAGTCACTGGTTGTTTTTGTCTGCTCAACCACTGGCCAAGGAGACCCCCCTGACAACATGAAGGTAATGCATCAAGTCCTTGTTGGTTCATGTGGTTGCTCTGCAAATTTCATCAGGACAAACGGACTTGTCGAAATGTTATCACTTCAAACATTTTTAAATAGACTTATTGCTCCCCCCAAAAATGTCAGTCTAAATTTCTATTCTACATGGGCAAAATCAGCGGCACAGTGGAACCTGCGCTTAGCACATCCGCCAGTCATTTACGATAACCGCCGTCATGCACAACAGCCTGAAAAACAAAATCCAGTGTGTGAGAATTTGTTGGGATTGATATCCCCTGCTTACAAAAAGTTCGGGGTATTCTGCTACCGTGTGAAATTTGAGGATGAACTTATCATGTACTCCGGCCGACTCTTGGCCACTCCAAAGTCAGTAACGGTGCCCATTTATGTTTCTCTCCAAAGAGCTTCTGGAGGTTTCTCTTCAGAAAGTCTTTACCGGCCGGATCTCTGCGCCGGCTGGACTGTGCCGTGCTGGGTCTGGGGGACTCGTCCTACCCAAAGTAAGTCTTGTTCACGATCGGAGCGCTCGTTCGGAATGACTCGTCAACTTTGGCGATTACACCTTGCATTTTTTTTGTTTGTAGGTTCAATTTTGTGGCCAAGAAGCTGCACAAGCGTCTGGCGCAGTTGGGTGCCACTCTGCTGCTGCCTGTCGGCCTTGCCGATGACCAACATGACCTCGGGTAACAACAAGTTTAGAGTGTTGAGGAATGGCAACCCCAAATTTCTGCGTGTTCATTAGGTCCAAACAACTTCTTGTTTGATGCAAAAGCCCCCCACGTGCAATGTGCGCTCTTTCCGTTTCGGCGAGCTCTCAATATTGAACCTGCTGCGGTTGAATCCTTCCATCGGCTGGCGGTCGAAGCGCCGGATGTGCCGTTGCAGTCATTCGTACGGTCGCGTCAAAATGTGTTTCTCAAACAGGCCCGATGCCGTGATTGATGTGTGGCTGTCGTCATTTTGGGGAAAAGTGTTTGCTCTGTACCCACGTCTTGCGGAGATGATCCCGCTGAGGGAAGATGACCCGTGAGTACTCTCTTCTTTCGATGCACCGAATCCGATTTCGTTTCATTCTTACATGAGATTTTTTTTTTTCTAACATACAGTCTGAATTTGGTCTGGTTTCTCTCCAGGCTTCCTCCGACGTACACGTTTAACTTTCTGGATGATCTCAATGCGAAGACAGACGATTGTCTAATCATCTCCACGCAAGCAAGCGGCCTCTCCCAGTCGCATCCCTTCGCCGCCAAACTGCTGTCCAACGAGAGAGTCACTCACCCGAAACATTTTCAAGATGTGAGGCACATCGAGTTTGACATCACGGGGTCCGACATCGAGTAAGGCTGACCTTAGCGTGACGTTTGAATTCGGGAAGAACTTGTTTGAATGACGATCCCCTTCCCGTGATTTGCCGACTCACTGTAATTCCTCAACTGTGCTCGACCGAGTGCTCCTCTCGATTGATTTTTAAAAAATGGTTTTGTATTAATTCAGTTGACTCAACCTTTGTCGGCCGGTGCTCTGTGTAGTTTTACTGCAGGTGACGTTGTTGTGATGCGTTCTTGCAATGCGGCCGAAGACGTTGAAGAATTCTGTCAACTGCTGCAATTAGACCCCGAGGCCACGTTCTCGCTTACAGCGACGGATGGCTCTGCAGGTAAGCGTGTGTGTGTGTGTGTGTATTCAATGTATGCCAGCATCTTAGTCAATATTCAACAGATAGATCTCCAATCAAGCTAAAAACAAACAGCGTTGTGTACCTTTCGGTCCCGTAGACCGCAATGATATTGTTTTGAATTCACCAATCACCACACACTGTCTGTGTGTGTTTTTTTTTTTTTTTTTTTTTTTGTGCTCAGTTCCAGCGAGGCTTCAACAGCCGTGCACGTTGCGTTACCTGGTGGAGAGCTACCTGGACATTGCAGCCGTGCCTCGCCGCTCCTTCTTTGAACTGCTCGCCACCTTCTCCAATGACGAGTTGGAGCGGGAAAAACTGGCCGAGTTCAGCTCGGCTGAAGGCCAGGAGGAGCTGCACAGCTACTGCAACCGACCGCGCCGCACCGCACTGGAGGTGCTGACAAGAAGTTGCGTTACGTCGACTCTCTTTGTCTTTTTTTCCCGCCCCAATAACTGAATTTCCTTTTGTGCTTCAGGTCTTGGCAGACTTCCCCCACACAACGGCACAACTTAAGGTTGACTACCTGCTGGACCTTTTTCCCGCAATCCAGCCCCGTTCATTTTCCATCGCCTCCTCTCTGCGGGTACGCTCGACGGCCGCCTCTTCTCAGAGATTCGAACAACCAAGGGGGGCAAAAGGGGGTGGGCTCTCCCCCAACATCTCTGTATTGTCTCAGTGCAGTAAGTGACCGTGATTTTCCCTTCTGACACGCAGGCGCACCCGCACAGGCTCCAGATTCTGGTCGCCGTGGTCAAATACAAAACCAAGATGTATAAACCGCGGAGAGGTCACTGCTCCACCTGGCTGGCCTCCCTTGATCCCGCAAAAGGTCATCACATTTATTTCTTGGTTTCTATCCAATCCACAATTGCGTTGCTGCGTCAGCTGAAGCCCTGAGCGCCGTTCACGCAGGCCTCATGCGTGCCCCCCATCGTCTTGCAGATGTTTACGTGCCTCTCTGGGTGAAAAAGGGAACGCTTGGGTTTCCCGCAGACAAAACGACCCCGGTCATCATGGTTGGACCAGGAACGGGAGTGGCCCCCTTTCGTTCAGCCTTACAGGAGAGGACCGCTGAGGGGAAAAATGGTGAGTATTTTCCCCTGCGGGGGCTCGTGAGTGCGTTTCACTGAGCGGTGACGTCATCGCGATGTTTTTCACTGTACAGCCAATGTCCTGTTCTTTGGCTGTCGATCGGAGTCCAAAGATTTCTACTTCAGGTCCGAGTGGAAGGAGATGAGCAAAGCTGGACAGTTGACCCTCTTCACTGCCTTCTCTCGTGACCAGGTCACAACGCTTCCCCATCCACATTTGAACTTTATTCAAACCCACGATTCAAAGGTGGGCGCTGTCATGTGAAAGCGATTTGTTTGTCAATACAGGAGGAAAAGGTTTATGTGCAACAGCGTGTGCGAGAGAACGCCGCTCTCGTTTGGGACCTGATCGCGAATAAAGGAGCCTACTTCTACATCGCCGGGTGAGATCTTCGGACTTCTGTTGGCCACGCGTCCATGAACGCTCCCTAACAGTGATTTATCCGTACAGAAATGCTAAAGACATGCCAAATGGTGTGCGCGACGCATTGAAGGCGGGGTTCCAACAGCAGGGAGGCCTCTCCGACGAGGATGCCGAGAAGATGCTGGCGGCCATGGAGAAGTCTGGCAGATTCCAGAGCGAGACCTGGTCCTGATCAGCCGGCGTCAGACCTGCGACGTTCACATTCCGCCGCAGAAGCCGCTGCCGCGCGTGTTGCATGGGGCCAGCCCTTCACCGCACGCTTGTGAGGAGCATCTACCGTGTCTTTGCACTGAATTCAAAACAGAAGGTTTAAAAAGAAGAAAGGATATTCCAAACCTGCCACTGCAACAATAAATATTTAATAAGTACCAAAACCTCAAGCGAAGTTATAAGGTGTCATTCAGGTAACTACTTTTTGTCACTTTACACGCCGCAGTTGGCGTGTAAATTCAGCCCAATTGTCCTCTGGAAAATTAACAAATGTTATATACGGTATATTAATATCAAAAGAGCTGTGTAGGTGCATGTTCTGTTATTTTGATGCCGGTGTTGTTTAGAGCACATTGTTGCTAATTTCTTGTTTGCTCCTTCCAACAATTAGTGATGTTAAAGTAAGTGTGCCATCTCGAGGAGTACAAAGAAATCACGAGTGCTTCGTCGAGCTTCATTTTCTCATCGCTCCCAACAATCTATGCTAGCGTTGTTGAAGTTCGCAAAGTCGGCTGCGATAGAGAAGTCAACAGGGGGTGTAGTGAGAAACCGAATGCTTTTTAATGTCGCAAACATCTTGGTATGTAACATCTTGTGGAAAAACATTCGGTGGTCTGAAACGCGTGATATTCAAGCAATGACTGTTCAGCGGAAGGCCCGCGTTTAAAGTAAATGAGAAAAGTGTTCTCATCTTTCAGATAAAAGAGGCAGATGATGTTGGTCAGTGACAAAAAGTTTCTGACCTGCAGTCCTCTTGGAAAAGGGGTCGCAATGGACCTCCGTCCGCTTCAAGTTAAAAGGATCTGACTGATTATCGAGCCTGGAACAAACGTGTTCAAAAATAAATAAAACCTGCAGCAAAGATACGGTCAGACAAGATGAATCAAACCTCTCTGCTCAAAACGTAGTAAACACGATCACATCGTTTCAGGGCGGTGGACGAGAACCATCTTCTTAAAAAAAGTGGCACTTTTCAAATGTCGGAGCACTTCTTATCGGAGCGCCAGACTGTGGACTTGGTAGATCTCCTTTGGGAAGTTCACTTGCTGCTCCTCGTAGATGACGCTGAGACCCGCTCTGCCCACCAGATTGCGGACAATTTGCAGGTCTCGACACACGCTGCTGTCCACCTCATCCGGGACCACGCCTTCGTAGGAAACATTGTCCTTGATGACAATGAGGCCGTTGGGCCGCAAGGCTTTCTGACAGCGCCGCAGGAACTCCACCAGGTGGTTGTCGGTTAGGTGGCCTGCAGAGGAGCATTTGGTCATTAAAAAAAAATTATAATAATAACTGCAATCTGCATTTCTGTCCTTATTGCTACAGTAATCCCTTGTTTTTCGCGGTTAATGGGGACCAGAGGGTTGTGAACCAACCAACTCCCCACTTCTTAAACAAAAAAAGTTATTGTGAACACATCACTAAGATACAGTATGCGAGACAAGTGCAAATGAAGTGTCCGTTAGTGTCAAGCAGAATCACCTATGACCCACTGGATCCAGATGACATCATAGCGTCCACTCTCCGGTACAAAATCCTGCAGGCCGCTACAGAAGTAGTTGCCCACTCTCTTGCCATCCTCTCCCAGGTACGTCTTTGCTTTGTCCAGGAACTCCTGCGTCACGTCCACCAGGTCCACCGTCTTGAAGAGAGGCAGCAGCAGACGCTTGGAGATCCTGCCGATGCCTGCGCCGCAGTCCAAAGCGCAGCCGGCGCTTGTCTTGCCTTCCCCTTCCTGCAGCGGTGACGAGCAGCCACGGGTGTCAAGAATGCATTGAGGGCATGATGCAAGATTCAACTTCAATCCAGTGTCTAGTAGTAGACTGGCATGTAAAAAAAAATTAAATAAAAATAGCAGCTGACTCGAGCCAGCTGCGCTCACGGTGTATTTCTTAGTTGCCGATCTGTTGGATTTACCTGACGCTTTAAGATGGGGCGGGGCTGCAACTGACAGGTGACCATTCACCTGACGTATTAAAAAAAAATGGTTTCCCGGTTTGGTTCATTCGGAAATCACTCACTTCGTCGCCCGCATACGCCAACGGTAAGCTACGTTTGCTATGTCCGCTTTGCTTTGTCTTTTAGATTCAATCGTGCTTGTTTGCTTGCTTTGCTTTGCTTTGTCTGCTTTGCTTTTTGCCCGCGGCGCTTTGTTTGCTGCTCCGCTTAACGTTACTTTTTGTTCGCAATCGGCAGTGCAAACACTCGCTGGAGTGGCGTTTCAAACAACGTGTGGCAAAAGCTTTAAAGTTAAGGTTTGCAATTGCGGTGGTGTGCACGCTTAGTTGTGTTTTGTTGGAGTGTTGCCACACCACGGTTGTCCGGCTGCATTGGGAAGTTTGAAGGATGATTTTGGGTTACGGCTCGATTTGGTCGTGCCGGCGTTTTGCTTCCGGGTTTGACTGCTGGGATTTGTAGTCCTTTTGTTCGGTTCCACGTGGACGCTTTCTCGTTGTGTTTAGACTGTGAATCTTGATGACATTATGAATGATTGTGATTACATTTAAAACGTGATGAGAAATGAAGATGACAATGATAATACACATGCTAAAATCAATGGGTTGTGATAAAATCATGGTTGATAAAATTCTTAAGATGAAGGAATTAACAGCTGTTGTGAAAGCGCTATACGGTTTAAAGAAAGATGTATTATTTTGCAACAAATTCATGTCATTTTTTAAATTATTTACATTGTGATGCGTGAAGACAGGCACGTTATTTTTTTGTTGTACTCATGCTTACTTTGAATTTATTACCTGCTATGTGCCTTAGTAAATAATCAGAGTATTGTACATATTATAGTTAACTTTATGACCATAAAATGTAGCTTTTGGTTTTTTTTTGTGCTCTCATTTTTATTTTGTCAACAAAAAAAATATTGCAATTTTAGTTTTCGTTATTTGGTGAACTATTATAACCTTAGTAAGACAGCAGTGCCTTTTTGAAAACAATCCGCACAAACTATTGTACGTAACTGCACTTGGGATGTCTTGTGTGTTGCAATGAGAATAGTTTCAAAAGAGTTTTTACTCCGAGGAACTTGCGAAGGAAAGCCTTGGATCCATTGATATCGATGCTGGAGATCTTCCCATAGCCTCCCAGCATGCCGTCCACTGTGGGCGGAACCTCCTTCCAGTAGCCCTCAGCATTGGAGTAGAACTTTGTCTCTCCCGCTGTGTCACCCATCCTTGCGAGAAGCACAATAAACAGCAAATAAAGAAAAAAAAATATACAGAGGATGTAAAATTCCTACCAATCGGGCAATTTTTCCCAAAAGTGGATTCTGCTTTTCCCTCCGCGCCCTTTGAAGATGTGCCTGTTATTTTCGATGAAAACACGGAACTGTTTGTGCGATCTCCAATTTTGTAACCAGCAATACTTCAAATAAATAGAAATACTCGGTTTTGTCTATTCAACCCCATGCACGCAAATTCATCGAAACCAAAATCGAGCGAGACTCAAAAGTGGAGATGGAACCTTTTGTGGAGTATTTCTGTTTTCCACACACACACGTGGTAATAACGACACAACAACCACTGGATGCACATTAACGTTTAAAACGCAGACGTTTGATCGAGTTAAATGTACAGTCTCAAAGCACATTTACTAGTCACAGACTGATTTGAATGAATGAATGAATGAATGATCAGGAGTACTTTACTGTACTTCCAAATTGCAGTGCCTAACTGTACCATTGCTTTTAGCATCTAGCTCGCTAACCGACAGCAAATTGCTTCAGCAGGAAAAAAAAACACAGACAGAAGACACATAAACGGGATCAAGATTTACCTCGTTCTCTGTTAGCTCCACGCACCAGTTAGCCCTCGAACCCACGTCAACCCGTCCCGGGGTCAGGTCTTGAGTTTTCTATTTGCAACCATCGCCTTGACGCTGGACGTCATTTCCTTATTTGGGTCCGACAGAAAAGGGGACGTCACGGGCGCCCTCTGTTGGCCGGATTTAGCTAAGCCTCAATTTGCCTTCACTGTGTCCTTTACCAAAATGAGTCTTGAAGTTTGACTTTGTGTGTGTGTGTGTGTGTGTGTGTGTGTGTGTGTGTGTGTGTGTGTGTGTGTGTGTGTTTCTGAGGGCGCCATGGAAATTGGTACCAAAAGGAAAAATTATGTAAATATTGTCATTTTGTTCGAGAATAAGAAACTGCAATTTCCAGTGGACCTTTCCATACTCAGTTCCTGCAGATTGACTTATTTGCATTTTTTTTTCAATATTTGTTTGTTTTGCTTAGTGGGAGTCCACTGCGATTTTTAAATCTTAATGTTTCATATTTTCGATTTAAGTTTTATGGAATGGAACGGAAGCGAATAGAATTTTATTATCACAAGTACAGAGCAGAAAAATTCACTTAACAGTCGGAACCGTTCCAGGAGACATAAATCAATGACCAACGGGGCAAAATGAGAAGCCTGACGGGTTGCCAAAATGGCAACCTGAGTTCTCAGATGAAAAAGAAAAACAAAAGGAAGGTGGAGGGGAAAAAAGCCCCATGTTATGGTGCTCTAAGGGAGAAGCACAGGATGGATTTAGAAAAAAAAAGAAATCTCAGTACACATCCACATTAATACACAACAAAGATCATTTTGTTTTTGATTTGCTCTATATCTTTAAATAAATCAAATCTAAAACTAAATTTCCAATTAAAAACGGAGTTATTTAATTTTTCAAATAAAAACGTAGTTGCCGCCCAAAAAGAGTTCTTTCAATAAACACGTCAAAAAATGTTAAAAATTTAAATAAAGGTGAACTATAGGATGTATTATACTATAGAAATATCCAAATTATAATGAAGCAAACATTTTAGGCTCAGTTACGCAACGGGGGGGGTCTTGCTCAAGGATACGTTGACATTTCTTACAAAGCAAGTCAGCATCTCTTCAGAAAGTGCTCACGACCTCTTGTTCTTCCCAAATTAGTCCTCATATTTATACTTATGCAGTATTTCAATCTTGTATTCGCTCAATTTCAGGAGCAACACGTTGTCTACTCATTCTACAAGTTTATGGCCGTCCCAGGAGGTGAAAGGTCATTCTCACCTTCAACGACGCGTCGACGGCCGCTCTCATATCCACTGGAGGGCAGTAAAGAGCCACATAAGATCGTGAAACAGACTCATGGCTTTATTTCGCCTGCGCTAACGTAACCTTCGTGGGTCCACTTGCTAAGTTGAAACCATAATTACCAAATAATACCAATACCAATAGTATCACCTAAAGTTTGATATTCTCCAATTCTGTCTGTGAGGTTCAAAAACAGCAGCAGCAGCAGCAGCAGCATCTCCCTGCCTAAAAATGCCTGCCAACATCACCAAGAATTGCAGCAAATAAAACGACTATTTTGGGGAAGCAACGGCATTAACACATCGGTCGACAGTAAAAAACGGAACAACACTTTCCAACATCATGACGTAAGATGTCGTGATACATTTGATTAGAGTTGTTCATGAACAATTCTCAAGCACACAGTCGTCGTATCTAGCTCACCGTTTGGGGAAAATTATAACGAATGATTCGGTTTTAGTAAAAAAAAAAAAAAAAAAAAAAATTTATATTTTGCCTTGTTTCCATGACAACTAAGTAACCTCTACTGGCTGATGAGCCTGAGACAAGAGTTAAAAGGTACAAGAAATGATGGACCGCTTGCCGTGAGATGACATTTGTCTTAAAATGTAGAATTGTTATTTTTGACTGTCTGTGTGATTTGCTTCATGATTGCTCTGAGCCGAAGCTCTCATATCCCCCGCCCCCCCCACACACACACTCACATGGAAAAAAAGACCTATAAACAGTGCAGTTCCAGCAAATATATGAAAATGCTTTGAAGAATTTACGCTACCAAAGTGATAGGAAAAGCTCATCACACCTGTCCAGGATACCCCACTCTCTAAATTGTTTCGAGGCCCCTAAAAACAATCAAACAAACAAACAAATCCCTTTTTGGGGGGTGTGGAAGCGGGGAGGTTGGTGCAGTCAGGCTTCCTTCTAACTGGCCACACTCTGAAGACCTCCTACCTCTGCAGAGGTACCATCAACCAAAACCTGAATCAGCATTTTGGTGGATTGAAGAATCTATACATTGGCTTTAATGCCAAGAAGCCCGGCCAGTTGGCATGGCAACTGGACAACACACACACACACACACACACACACACACACACACACACACAGTAGAAGCACATTCTGCCACACTGCATGGCAGACGTTAATCAGAGGTGGAACCTTCCTCTCTATCGCCCTGTCATGTATTTAATTTTTCTCTTTTTACTAATCTGAGGTCCCTGTGTACAAATCTTGCTCGGTATGATCCCTCTCCGTTGTTTGTCTTGTCGTGTCCTGCGATTGGAATTCACTGATGCTGTTTGATCTCTGACTTGTTTGGATTTTGAAACTACTTTTCGAATCGGAAATAATGGCAGAACTTACTGAATCTGCCATTCGGATACAACGTAAATAGTCGAGATAAAGTCGCTGAGGGTGTCGTGGCACAACCCGCCTGACTTGCGCGCGGGCAGCGTGGGATCAGTTCCCACTTGGTGATGGTGGGATTGCTCACTGTTCTCTGCGTGCCCTGCGACTGACTTGGCGACCGTTTCAGGGTGAAGTGCACATTCCGCCCAAAGACAGCTGAGATAGGCCACCATTATCCATTGACTGGCATTAAAAAAAAAAAAAAGGAGCCCCACATTCAAATGCACCGAGTCTTCGGGTTGTCTGCAAACCGTCAGCTATCTGTCACCAGTGAGGGGAGCTCCAGAGCAGGAAGCTGATTCCAGGACACTGAGCTCAGTTTGAGAATTTGGTGTTCCCGAGCTGCTGTTTCCTGAATTTGATACAGTGACCCCCCCCCCCCCAATCACGGGGGTTACCTTCCAGGCCACACCCTGCATTCGATGAAGTCCGCGATCTGGAGATACCCTACTTAGATTCAACCTAGGCAGGTTTTATAGCATTGATGGTACTTCTATTTTTGTCTTCAAGACGCGCTGAACAATACCCGACTGTCGACACGACTCATCTGTCACTGGCTCAAAAATAGTCCAGCACCAGCGTATCCGACAGGAGCCTTATCAGGACGCGAGAACAATACACAATGTTCCCAGAGTTGCCCAGAAACGGAGACGTGTGCGATCACTCTTCTCGCTTGCGGAACCATCATCCGGATTCTGTCCAGGGAGCGGAATAGCTTCCCTGAATTCAAGAGCGCCGTCAAAAAACCAATTTTCAAAGAAACAAGAAAATGAAGTCGCGGTAGAAGATAAAGAAGTAGGTGGGCTAACTGTTAGCATGTCTGGGGGCTGGAGTAAAGCTCAAATTTGTCCCGACTATGTGTGTGTACGCCACTTTGGATCATCTATGCGTGCTCCACAGTTTGGAGGCTTCAATTGGAAGGGAAATTGCTCGAAGAAATTCGCGGCGCAGTCCTCCGTGCCTCCGTACAGCACAAACGAACCAAAAGCCATAGCTTGCTTAGGGTCTATACGTGTGTACGCTAGGCTCTGTCAAGAAGAAAATATGAAGAAAAAGGATGAGGACCAGACCAAAAAAAAAAAAAGTCCTTCACGTTGGCATTTCTTGCATTGCCTCGACCGAGGAGACGGCCATGCGGGCAGGTGTGCATGCACAAAGGAAGAAAAGCCATTTCAACTTTGCCGTTCCGTCAGAGTCTTATTGGAAAAGCGTCCACGGTGAGTCCAGCACTGAAATTAGATATTGATCCTTCCGCCCCGTTCTCCACCCACGCTCACGAGTTTTGAGACTCCACCCCCAGCACCCCCCCTTGTGGAGATTCCCTCGAGTTCATTTCGTCCTTCCTACTTGTCACTCCAGGGAAATCTTCCCGATTGGGACTCTTTTTTTCCTTCATGTACCCTCGTTTCCAGCTTCCACATTTCAACTTTGAAAGAGGCCGCGTTGGATTTTCTTCATCAACTGACCTGCGAGCAGCCACGGCGACTTGGTGCGCACGCTCAAATTCAGGGCTGTCCAAACTTTTTTCGTTTGGGAGAGAAAAATGGAAGGATGAAAGGGCCATTTTCATTTCCTTTGTCAGCTCCTTGAAATGTGCTCAAGTCAGTCAAGAAAGTCATTCTGTTGATTGTGTTGTCAAGTTCACTGCATCAGATTGCTGTTAAAGGTGTCAAGAAAAATAGTTAATATACAATATTGCTGACTTCAAAACAATATTTTGCCATACTTTGGGTTATTGTACATCATGTTAGCATTTCGATACATTTATGGCAAAACGACGACTAAAACTCCGGCATCTGGTTTTCTTCATTGTGAAAATATTCCGCATTCAGACATTCATTCAGTCAAGGTACTCTGGAGCGAAAGATGACGCGTGCGGGGGGGAAAAAAGAAATTGTGGACGACTTCAAATTCCACCTTCTGTTGTGTTAACCTTTGCTAGCCAAAGTTCATCTCGGCTTCAGTGACGAGCGGGTTGTGATTGTTTGATCCGCGAGGTCTTTGCATGGATGTTGAACAATTTGCGCAAGTTGGACAAGAAGAAAACAGCAACTGGGCTTCTCACCCCCGCATTTCTTTCTTTTTTTTTTTTTTTTTCTTTTCCTCTCCTCCGATCTCCCCCTGCTCACCTTCACTCATCACCTCATCTATTTCTCCCGCTCTGTTGCCAGGCAACAGACAGGAAGGGCATCTCTTGCCGGCAAGAAAACCACAGGAAGGGCTCGCAAAAAAAAAAAAAAAAGACTCATCTCCCAGATGTTCTGCTGTGAAAGATACTTCTGAAGGTCCTTCTGAAGGGGCGGCCCTTTTTTTTTTCTCTGTTTGTCATCCCCGCTACAGCTTCATGAAATTTCAGGTGCATTAACATGTAAAATTCCTCAAATATTAGAATGATCGCCAGTAACAATATTTCAGAGATGAACCAAATTCCTGAACAAAGCCCGGCAAGGCTTGTGGCGGCATCA